TTGCCCTCATGACTGTTTAGATATAGAACAAATGACCAATAAAGTTGCTATAGATCGAATATCATTATATTGCCACCAAGCAGTCTGCTGTACTAACGAACAGGCTCGTTGATTAAATCTGGAACATATCAGTATTACTCAGATGGGTGGACTATATTGTGGGTATATTTTACATATTATACGTACATATATAGCATTCCTGCGATGCTACTTCAGCATGATGTAATTTGCTATAAATAAATAAATATTTTAAAAATAGCATCCTGAACCGATAGTCAAAAATGACGTTGTTTCTGGTAGAAAATAGGTTTTTGGTCCTCCGAAATTACCTCTAGGTATGATATGTAATGGAACTATGCAAATTCAGGTAGAATAAGAATGGAAAAGAAAATTTAAAAAATAACAAAGACTTGGGTTTTTCATGCTCCGATCCAATATCTTGAATGGTGTTATACGAAAAGTCAAAAAGATGTTACTTGCTCATTCTATAAAGAAAAAGATAATTTAAAACTTTATCCACAATTTATTAGCATCATGTGCATCAGTAGCCTTTTCGGGTTCAAGAAGGAAGAATTTTTCTGAAGTACTTTCCATGATTTCAAGTAAAAGCAAGTTTCTTCTTAGTAACGCACAAATTTAAGATAATGTGTATGTAAAATTTTATTTGTAAAATTGTTCGAGGAATTATATCCTAGCGTGTTAGCACATCATTAAGGAACTCCCTGTATATCAATTATTGCTTCATAATTCCTAGTCAATGAGTTAAAAATAAATGTTTAGCAGTACTACCCGAAACAGCAGCCTACGTCAAAAGCTTAGTTCCAAACCATGTTTTGAAGACTTTTAGATCTGAAAAAATATCTGTTATGATTCAGTATCCAGAGATATCCGTTAATAATTTTATCATATCACGCAAGCATTGCTTTTGCTTGTGCAAATGAAAGATTAATCAATAAAGTTGTCTGTATTCGAATTTTTGGACAAGGTTAAATGAAGCTTATAGACTGCCACTTAAACCGATGGTCTAAGAATAGAAATTATACCATTGCTGAAGTTACCAAGTTATATTAAAATAGATTACGCTAATATTAAATTGCATCAGTGGCGTAGCAAGAGGGGGTGGCGGGGGCGAGCCGCACTGGTTGGCACCTTTTTTGGGGTGACACCCACCCGGTGTATCAACTTTAAGAACAATGTACAAATATGAAAAAAAAATCGCTAGCACAGCTGTCTTCTTCGGTGATTCCTCCACTTGCACTAGCTCAGCTCTAGTTCGGGGACTCTGCCAAAATCAGAATACTACGATATTCCAACAGAAAGACGACTTTGTAGTAAAAAGCGGGTGGTTGGTGAGATGACCAGTGATGCAGGACTCACACTGAAAGAAGAACTCTAAAAAGACATGTTAGAATGTCTTGACCGATTCAGAGCTGAGCTCCAGACAAGTCTCTTCAAGACCTAGCTTCATTGTTCGAGATCGCAAATACTTTGCTTTTGGCGAATACTGAAGAACTGAAATTAGATACATCCAAATTTACTGACTTTAATGATGTCTCAGAATCAAAATTACTTTTGGAGATACCAAGACTGCGAAACCACTTGAAGGCCGCTAATGGTATAGTTTCTGATTGGGCATCTCTAGATTTTTCAAAGTTTATTGTAGAATGGGATTTCACAGAATCTCTTCCAAATCTTATGATTGCACTAAAATTGTTCATGACGGTTTGCGTGTCCGTAACTTTATGTGAAAGGAGTTTCAGTAAACTAAAATTAATAAAAGCCTATTTGCAGGCAACAATGACCCAATAGCAGCTTAGCAATCTTGGTATATTAGCCACCGATCTCGAGGCAATACAAAATATAAATTTTGATGAAGTTTGCAGCTGTCAAAGCTTGAAAGAAGAGATTTTAATTTTAAAATAAAAATATTTTTTTCTGTCTTAGTTTTTATTGGGTTTTGTTACTTGTTCAATATTTTAAATATAAATATTAAATGGTCAATGACGTTTATAAATCATATAAAATTTATTGTGCACCGGATGCCACCCAAGATAGCTACGCCACTGAATAGCATATTGAGTCTAAACATAGAAAGACGTTGCAAAAATGCTATTATAAAGTTAGTACCATTAGAGAAGGCCTCGAAACTTAAGTATCTATAAACCATAAACCGATTTCAACAAAAATTATGTAGTATTGAATAATAAATTAAAAAAGATGAAATACATATTCCTATAACACGCACCTGTTAGATGTACATTTTTTAAAATATAAAAGTGACTTGGACCATATTCGAATTAATGTGACCAAACTGAAGACAAGCCAGAGGAATAGTAGATAGTCTGAAGACATAAAAAATAATATACTTTCTATCGACATAATTTATCAGTAAACCACTCAAATTTTGATTAGTGGAGGAAGTCTCTCACACCTGCTCGGAGAAATATCCAGATTCCTTTTTTTTACATTATTTCTTTAAAAGTACTCTTTTTAACAAATATGCCTGTTATCAGGCCTAAAATTGCGTTAGAAATTGTTTGAACATTTTTTAAGGCAATTTCCAAAAATTGTTTTTTTTTTCGCTCTAGACTAGTTCTAGCGTTCTTGAGGCATTCTGACCAACAAAAGTAATTCCCATACCAATAAAAGCATCCTTGAAGATAAGGGAGATCTTCGATCCATCAGCAGCCTATGTACTCTGTCGAAGGTCTTCGAAATGATTTTGCATGCTAGAATGAGGGCTTGGTTGTAAAAAATGACATTCTTTCAGAAAATCAGTCAGGGTTCAGATCAGGTCAACCTGCACAACGACCTTGCTCAAAGTTACAGATGATATCCGCAATAACATTGATCATGGCAGCCTATCCATCTTAATCTTACTGGACTTCTCGAAGGCTTTGATAAGCTAAACCATGATCTGCTGATTGCTAATCCAGACTTCTTGAGGTTTTCAAACAGTGCCGTTCATTTGCTAAGAAATTATCTCAAATATCTGGCAAAAGTTGTCAAATATGTTGGTGAATCATCCGAATTGTCTAACCTTTCTCAATGTGTACCACAGGGATCTGCTTTAGGTCCACTCTTGTACACTATATACACTTCACGGGTCACGGTATATATATATATATATATATATATATATATATATATATATATACTAAGTGACATATAAATCCGAACACCCAGTTTAAATGGTTTTATTTGAATAAAATTTTGTAAAAGTACTTAATGAAGCATAATAAGTAAATGATAAAAATTTCAAAATGATTGCACTGCTTTAAAGCCCTTTGACCTTTAATAATGTGTGGATGCACCTTGATGTAATACGCATTCTCCAACGCTCCTAGGCATGCTTCTGATCAGGTGGTCAATGTCCTCCTGTGGTATCTCATTCCAGGCAACCACCAACTCCTCTCGAAGTGCTTCTAGAGTCTGAGGAGGACGTTGCAAATTGAGCAATCTCCTACCCATCATATCCCACACGTGCTCAATTGGGGATAAGTCGGGAGATCTTGGTGGCCATGGTAACAATGTGACATCATTATGTTGAAAGAAGTCTATTGTGACTCTTGCAACATGTGGTCGGGCATTATCTTGTTGGAAAGTTGGATCTGCCAGGGTGTCAAGATAGGGTAAAAGATGGGGTTCTAGAACTTCGTGGATATAACGCTGCGCGTTCATGTTACCTCTGATGAAGATTAAAGGTGACCTGGAACCATAAGCTATAGCACCCCAAACCATAACTCCAACAGTGTGATGAACATGTCTTTCAACAAAAAACTGTGGATTCCTCCTTTCACCACGTCGCCTTCTAACCCTGGCACGACCATCGTGCATGCCTAAACAAAATCGAGACTCGTCACTAAAGACAATACTGTTCCATTCCTGATCCCAGAGTGACCGTTGTCTGCACCACTCAAGGCGATTACGACGGTGCTGTCGAGTTAAAGGGAGGACCCAGTGTGGCCGGTATGAAAACAAGCCAAAACTTCTCATTCGTCGGTAAACACTTCGCATGCCAATAGGTCTTCCGTGTTCTGCAAACCATTCATATGCAATGGACCTGGTAGTGGAGAAACGGTCCCTTAAGGCCAATAATCTTAGGCGGCGATCTTCACGGTCTGTTGTTCTACGGCGGCGTCCAGTGCCACTTGCTCTTTGCGTACGGCCTTCTCGAAGCCATGCCTGATAACACCTAACCACAGTGTCTACACTTCTTTGCACTCTAACTGCAATTGCCCGAAAAGAAAGTCCAGCTTCCCGAAGTCCCACTATACGGCCCCTATCAAACTCACTAAGTTGACGAAATCGTACAGGTCTCCGTACTCTAGGCACCGTAACCGATCGTAAAGGATGTCAAGAACCAATATCCGCCAACGTTGATTCTTTACTGCGGCTGAAATATTCATTTTTAGAGCGTTAGTGAATTAAAAAAAGCAGTATAAAAATCGGAATGTCCAAATGATAAGGCTGAAAATTTTTTCACTTGTTATTTACAGTAAGATAAATACGTTCACCAACTTTTATTATTAAAATAAAACCATTTAAACTGGGTGTTCGGATTTATATGTCACTTAGTATATTTTGAGATACACGAAAACTAAAAACTATTTTTTGTAAACTAGTCTATTTATGTTTAAAGTATTCTCCTCCAACATCAATGCACTTCTGTAACCTGACCTTCCACAAATGAAGTGCTTCCAACCAATCAGTTTTTGGAATGCCTTCAACAAACTGATTAATTGCTTGATCCATTTATTCTTCGGACGAAAATTTTCGACCATGTAGATTTTTTTCAAGTTCTTGAAGAGCCAAAAGTCACACGTTATCAAATCTGGCGAATAAGGCGGATCTTCTAGCATTTTGATATTTTGCTGTGCAGTTAGTTGGGCAGTGTGGCTAGAGGCATTGTCGTGACGCAGGATTGTACCTCCGCAACAACTTTTTTTGAATGAAGATGATCATGCAAAATAGTGTGTACTGTTGCGGATCCTACCACAAGTCGCATGTGTGCAGCGAGAATCTTCTTCAATTAGCCGCTGAACCTTAGCCGTGTTTTCTGGAGTCACACTAGAACATGGCCTACCACTACGTTCTTCATCAGCCTATGAAACGCGCCTTCTTTTATATTCGGCATACCATCGAAACACACTTGCCCGGGACGGAGCTTCATTTTCAAATGCCTGTTGTAAGGGTTCGATTCATTAATGTTAAGCTAAATCCTCTTCAAGGTCGTGGTAGATCATAGCGCGATAACGTTCTCGAGACAACTCCATGTTTCGTCTTAAATTTGTTTACACCACCTGCACTGTAAGACGCTTGTAAATAAACTGAATGCGGCGACTTACTAATAAAGGACTGCTCTTTCTAATAGTGCACTCTTGCCAGTTTTAACTAGTATAGTTAATGCGCATCTCAAAATATACAGCGTGCCCCTCGTACTATTTGGTAAAAAAAGATCCGTGAACTATAGTCCAATACTTTAGACATGTATTTCGGACAAGACAAAATAACTTTGAAGAGTTCCGCAAAAAATGTAGGGGTTATTCTGGATACAGATCTAACGTTTTCACAGCATATCTCTTTTCTAACCATCTTTGAAACTGCTATATAATAGCAGAAGCGTACTAACCAAGCTAACACAAACCATATTGTCGCGGCAATCGATATCTCTTCAGTTAAAGAACTTAGGTTGGTTCAACATGGAAAAAAGAATGTTCCTTCATCGATTAGAACTATGCTACAAGATACTCAGTACTAAATCACTATCCTATCTTTATAAGAAGATCAGCACCCGTACCGAAGTGCACAGTCACAACGCGAGGTTTCAACAAGATCTCTCGCTACCTAAATTCAACACAGTGCTTTTTTACATAATATGATACGTATAATTAAAGTATACAAAACACGCTGCCTGATAGAATTAAGAGAGAGAGAGAGAAATGAAGACTATCCTGATATTTGGGGTGACTTAAATTTTTCATTCCACGTAGATTTGCCAAGTATATTTGTATGCATTTTACATTTGATCCTTGCCATTTTACCTTTCTAAACAATTAGCTAATTTCTAACTATCCCTTTCAAACATCAACTCGTCTTTTATAATAAGGTGCGTTTAGATCTGGGCACGCACGCACTGATCCACCGGGAATGCTCAAGTGTAAACGGCTATGCGCGCACGCTCACTCTGTATCTTCATGTCCGCGAGCAACAGCGAACGCGATCCGCGTGGTGTCGGTCTCAAGACGTTGCTCAAAGGAATTACTGGTTTCGCGAATGCTCAGTGTTGACAGAAACGACAACGCGACACACAGGATTGAAGCTTTGATTGTATTTAGTCCAGTCAGAAATTAACCGTGGGACGTTAAGCACGAAGAGTATTATTCAAAATCGAAAAAAAAGAATGATGCATGGCAGCAACTAGTACTCAATTGTCGTATTGAAAATTTAGACTGTTGCGAAGCACAGGAGAAAATTAAGTCTGATGGGATCCTTTCGTCGCGAAAAAAGCAAAATAAAGATTTTGACACTCTGAAAAGACATTGCCTGCTGTGGGAGTCTAAAGTTGCCAAAAAACGCAAGGTTATGACTAAACGTTCTCTTGGTGATATAGGTTCTCGAAGCTGTGTATCGTTTTTCATTATCGTTGGTGTAATCAACGTAAGCAGATATTCAAAGTCAACCTTGGTAATTCTTGTAATATTTCTGAATTAATCATACAGACTGTCTGATACTAATTCCTTTAATAAATTATTATTACTTTTGCGTAGAAATTCGATTATCCACCAACGACGACATCTGCGTTGCCGATTTTCTTTTCTTGTAATTATATTATACAGTATAATAAATGTTGCCGCGGCTATATCTATATTCTCCTTGTTAACCTCGTACCCGAACGACTGGATCAGCCCATGCATCAAAAAATGAATTTCAGTTTAAACACTCTCCACTCACGCGAACGAATGCGTGTGCGTATGTATGCTCAGTGAGTGCGTGCTCATGTATAAACGCACCTTTACAGATAAATTACATTTTTTTCTGGTTAGATGGAAGAGCGCGGATTGACAACTAATGGTTGTCAATTAAGCGAACCATGCCGCTGGCTGGCTGCATCAGAATTATGTTGTTCTTTTTCTCTGTACTTACATAAGCAATAAAAGCAATTTTTTATAATTATTATTAAGTAATACATATTTGAAAGTATCGAAATATGTTATTTTAAACCCCGCAGAATAATATGAATAAACAGAGAAAACAAAAATTTAATTTTTGCCGAACTTCTCAAATATACAAGCATCGATGAACATAATCATAAAGCATTTTTGGTGGTTTTGCTATTGCGCGCGCTCAATATGCTCTGCGTGAGCGCGAGCACCATGTGGCACTCAGACTTAATATACGCTTGATTAACAATTGAAAAATAGATGTTCACAATACCTGTATACCCTAAAACACTTTTGGATTCTGTTAGTGGATTTTTGGAAAGTATTTTGGATGTTTAGCAAGATTCAAATGTTCGTTTTTATATTGTTTTCCGGGTTCGAATATGACATATTTGGCGCTGCTTGTTCAAAATGACAAAAAAATAATTAAGTTGTGTCTGGAGCGAAAAAAAAAATTTTGGAATTCGTAAAATAATGTTGACGCAATTTTTGGCATGGCAACATGCATATTTGTTCCAAGAGGTCATCTATGAATAATATCACGTAAAAAAACGAATAAGAATATTTTTCCTAGCAGATGTGAAGATACTTCCTGGACTAGCTTTAGTTTTTAGGAAATAAAGATTCTATTAGAATCGCTTGATTAATAACAATTCAACTTACGGATTGACACTCTAAAGCCCGATTTCACTATTGACCGGCGGGAATCAAAATTTGCGTCTTTGGCATTCTGCAATTTTAGTTATGTCCTCAAAGATTTTCAAGCAGAATTTCGTTTAGCAACAATAAGCCACTGACTTCCAATGAAAGGCTCCTTTAATTTCTGTCATATCAATCTAGATGTTGTATCAGGTAATATGTGACCATGCTTCGAGCATGGCACAACTGCTTCTATTTCATTGGTGCATTTTATTACTATGGCTGGTAATTTAGTGTCCGGACGCAGATGAATAAATAAGTTCTTGTAGCTAAACCAAGTAGTTTATGGCGTATTCCTTGACTTAATATGGGTCTTACACAAAACCGTATAATCATGCTCTAGTTTGAAAGACATTTTACAAGAAATCAACCATATTAATTAGATCCATTACTTCTAAAACACCTCCTAATTGGTTAAATTTGTAACCCACGCGCTTTTTTGAGCCCCGACCTAGTAAAATCGGGCCTAAGAGATGAGAACTTCAAGAGCAGCTTTATACATTAGAATCTGTCCGGTGCTCATTCATAAAATTTTAATCACTTCAGGAAATTCGATAAAATAACTAAAGATACTTTTGTTTTTTTTTTCAGTGTCCGCTGGGCTGTCCCAGCTGCGCATAAAACGAGGTGAGTATGGTGACTGACTAACCAGCTTTAATGATTTTTATTATTTTATCTTCTGCGCTTACAGGTACGTTTCGATCAGACAACATTTTCTCCCCAGCATGTTGCGCATCATGTTCCGGCATATGTGCCAGAACAGACTCTGCAGACATTTTTCAAGCTTCAGTATGTCGTTAATTTCAACACGTAGGACAAAAGTGTCCATGGAACCAAACTTTTTACACGAATTGTTTCCCAGCTACAGTGCCCGGTCAGCGATATCTAACAGTGTGTTAATTATTTTCGTTCTTGCCGTCATCCCTACTAGCCAGTCCACAAACATTGTACATATAACATGTACAGGTTACCCAAACTTGCAAGGATGGAATATTACGCCAGGATACAAACATTTTCAAAAAGTGTTCAGGATTATCCTACAGCGATTATCTAGAAAGGCATTTCAAAAATCCCCAAGATAATACAGGGTGTTAGACTTAATACCTGGATAGACATCTATAGTAATTTTGCATACTTGGACAGGCCTTAGATATAGTGAAAAGGTATGCATTTTTGAACGCATTTCTTCAATTTCGTAATAGTGGGATGCAGCTAGTTGACTCAGATAATTCAAGGAATGGGCATACTAGGTAGCAACTGAAGACTATCACATATGTATATTCTTACAAGAATTTCAGTACCTCTGCCTATTAAAGAGGTCGAGGTCCAGGTTGCCATACATTAATTTTTTTAGACACAATACATAACTGTCATCTCAGCAACTACTAAACAATATTCAGAAGTATGTAAGTATATCCAAATATGTAGTAAATGTCTAAGTGTCAATGAAAAAAGCAACTTTGTAACCTAAAGGTCGTTATGCGAACACCAAGTATAATCTTTACTATATTTGATAGGTAGAAAAGTTGTAGGATAATTCTGAATAGTTTTGGAAAAGGTCTGTGTCCATGTTCTCCATACATGCAAGCTCGGGCCTCTCTGTATATAAATGTTGCAGAACCGGCCAGTAAATAAATATCTAACAACAACTAGATGCCTGTTACTGAGCCTGCAGTACTCTGTAATAGGGTACGGATTCCTCAATTCAGATCAGGTACATTTGCTGTTGTTTGTTTGTTCGACGTATTGAGATTTACTGCATACTAAATTAAAAGAAAAATAGCCAGAAGTTATTTTGCGTCAAGTTTCTGCGGGGTCTATTACTGAAATGCCACTTGTTGCCATACAGTAAAGTGATTATGTGCACGTTACATACACTGCAATATGTGCCGCAACTTGTTATAACGGAAGCTTACCTTAGCAACACCTGATGTTGTGAATGAATAATATTAGAGAAAGTCAGGGAACAATAATCTGAATCAAGCCATTCCAATTCTAGTTCAATATTACTCCATCCCACCTTAACACAAAATGAGCTTCTCGGGTAATCGAAACAATTCAAGAGAATGATTCCGTATACCGTTTCTAAAAAGGTCCCTATGACAATACTCGTATATGTCGAAAGGCGTTTCTACCCTAAACATATAGTGGTCGAAACATTGATGAGGTTTGTTTACCTGGCTGATTTTAATGGAACCTGTACGCGTTATTGTGAGTCAGAATCTTTTGTTTTGGATAATTTTCAAGGACGTCACTAGTTTTGCCTGAATTTGATATTTCCATCAGATTGAACAATCCAAAATTTGTACCTTGCATGTTTCTTGGGCGACCTTTCCAAAGTTGTCCGTTTAAAATGAAATAAACACCAAATCAAGAAGCGAATTCTGTACAAAACATCAGCAAACATTGAAATACATAGAATGTGTGTTGCAAGCTGTTTAATCTGTTAGAAGCACCAATATGACGTACTTACTTGAAAATTTTTCAGAATATTCAATAATCCAGCATCCAACACAACTATTACGTGTGATTGAAATTGATACAAATCATGCCCCTAGCACGTATTAGTATTTTTATCAGAAGAATTCAAGTAGGATCCGAAATATTTTTTTATTTTGGAATTGAATGGTTTTTGATGCACGACATGGCAAGCTCCTTATAAGCTAATAAATGGTGGGAGTATAGGTTTCCTTCCATAGATCGGCTGCAAGATACAAATGATTGTTCTTTGACTTCTGTTTAGCTATAATCTATTGATAAAATGAGGGATCCATATCTTGCTTTCTCAATGCCATCCACCGCTTGCATTATTAACCCGCTAAAGGTCGTTTTGGATTAATCAAAAACCTATATTCACCTCTTTTCACGAGTTCCAAGTTTGAAAAGTGAAAGGGTGGCACTAGGATCTAAAGTTTACATCTGATTTGCAGCATTCAGTATCCTATGTATTACGGAGTGTCCACCATTTGTTAATTTCTGAAACGTCGGCAGCCTATACATACAAGCTAAGGCATTCAAATGAGATGACAAGTACTTACGTCTAGATGTTGGACCAAATTCTTATTATCGGTACTTCGTCGTTGTTAACAATATCATGTATTCAACTCCATGACTACAGACACAACAAGTATGGAATGCCTATAGATTCGTAAAAAAAATTTTAGGGGTTGAAATTTGGGGGGTGGAGGTTGTTAGATGTGCGGCAAGGTATATGAAAATTTTTTGATCTTAGTATATTTATACATTCCGTCTATACACCTTTTATCCATATTTCACACATCACTGATTTTCGTGTACATTAATTAGTCTATAAAGCTTAAATGAACCATGCACGAAATGAACGATAGCTTGCTGTTTGTAGCGACGATGAACTGATCTCGGCGTTGCGTGGGAAATGTAGAGTAAACCTACCTGACGCCATAGTTTTACTTATCTATCATTTTATGAAATTTGCACACAATTCGTGGGGTTCAATTTAAAAAATGGTTACTCAAAGAATGTACCACAGTAGAACTTTGGGCCAACATAGAGACAGATTTTCATCTTGTCCAAATGTCCAGAGTGTAATTACTAGTATGTTTTATCTAACTTTCATTTCTTAGTACGTAGCAGCCCGGTCTAACAGATTTTTGGATTGCATATGGGTTGTACATCAAGGCTATCATCATTAGCACCCCTCAACAGACGTTCATCTCCTTAGTGCTAGAAAAAATTCATTAGAAGTAAATTGCTGGTACCCAATTTTTAACTTAATGAGATAACAAAAACAAAACTTAAATATTGCCAATTTGCAAACACAGAAACACCAGTAGCAGCCGACTTAAAAGACACGCCTTGCGCCCCCAACGATTACTTCAAAATCGACTGCAATACGTGTTACTGCAACATGGATCGCACCGGCTACCTCTGCACCGAGAACCTTTGCACAGGTTCAGATGACGACGTCACCCGAGAAACCACTCGGATCCCCTTGGCCGACGACAAAATGCTGATCATTTCTCCTAAGGGCGTGAAGCTGGTGTCTGACCACAGTAACACCACGACAGATGCCCCAAATGACCTGAGTATCTTTGGGAGGTATTCGAGAGGTGGAATGAGGGTCGAAACTGGGGCGGATGACAGCACGACTGCTACAGAAGCGCTCGGTACCACCACAGAGTGATCCGACGGTACGCTAGTAGATGTTTGTAAGGATAATAGGAGAGTCTAATACAGGTTTTGGTCATCATTTGTTATAGCTCTGGATATCATTCACAAAGTGTAATATCGTAATGTTGCAATGACGCAAAAGTCGAAGAATCCTTCTAGGAATGACTGTCGGCATTTTTTCAAATTTAATACGAGGGCGATCCGATAAGTACAAAAGAGAAACGAAAATTTTTGGAAAGTGGCGATTCATTTCTCAAGATAGTCTCCTTTTAGCTCAATACGCTCGACCCAGCGATGCTCCAACTTCTTAAATCGGTTTGAAAAATACGTTTTTTGGAATCCTGCAAAGTAGGTTCCCGTGGCGCCCATTACCTCCTCATTCCACTCAAATGTTTTCCCGGCGAGTGATTCTAAGTCACACGGGCCCAAATCTGAAGAACACGATGGATGGGGCAGCAGTTCGTAACCTAATTCGAACAATTTGGTCATGGCGACGGCGGAGGTATGAGCCGGTGCGTTGTCACGTTTGGAAGAGCACTTCTTTATTCGATAGTGGGACCGTTTCCTCTGCAATTCGGCGTCGAACCGGCCCGATAATTCGGCCTTATGACCGTTGTGCCCTTCCCAAGATAGTCGATGTAGATCACACCTTGTGAATCCCTTTCTGACCGATAGGACAGTCTTCGCCTTCTTTGGAACACGTTTATCGGGAGAAGTCCACTGTTTCTGGTGTGCACCAGTGGATCCATAATTCGTCGATGGTCAAGAAACGACGCAGAAACTCCTTCCGCTTAAGCTGCGTCAAATACTGCTCTGATGTGGTCTCACGGTTGCGCTTGTTGTCCCATCGCGCAGGTAGCTTCCTCACCCCCAATGTTTCGTGCAGGATAAATATGACCCCCGCGGTCTTCTGAGATGCCTACTGTCTCTGCTATCTCGCACGCCTTCAATCGGCGGTCGGCCAATACGAGATTGTGGATTTTTGTCACGTTATGCTCCGTGGTAGCCGTATTTGGGGCACTTGGGCGTGGCTCATCAAAAACCGCCGTGCGACTTCGTTGAATATCGTTAGACCAAAGGAGAAGAGTCACCGTACATAGCCTACATCAGGTCTTTGAGTTTGCTGCGCGATTTCTTTTCCAAAAACAAGAATCGAATAACCGACCGATATTGCTCTTTTATCTAAAATCCGCGGACAAAACAAAACTACGAGTCCGATTTTGGTGAAATTTTGTCAGTAGCCGTATACAAGAATGTACTACACAATAATAACTTTCTCTTGCGATAGTGTTGCCATTTATTGGGCGATAAGGCTTAGTACTATCCGACCGTCCTCGTATGCTGAACATCGTAACGCCCGGATCAAAAGTGTTCTGGATCCCAAATCTTTACCATGAGTACTTTCCGAACTACAACCTTCAATACCATTCCACGGAATTGTAGGCTCACTTCTTCGGCATTTATAGGTACTTGAACAAACAAATTCTCGACAAAAAAATTGAAAAAATATTACCACCTTATCTACTCGTTAATAATATTGGAATGGTTATCAATTTCTAATCTATTTAAATTTCATTTACTGTGTTATATTCATAAGCTTTTACTTACCTCAATTCTCCCATTTTTGAAATATAAGTTATTTTGTATTGAACATTTAACAAATTGAAAAAATGGAGGATTTAGGGTAAAATTGAGTATAGCAAAGATTTTTGACACAAAATTCACTACTCCAGATATGCAGTCTGTCAGACTCTGGTGTTTTTTATATAAAATACTCAACAGCTCACACAACTACTAATCATTTCCCGTCAGTATGTTTTTCTACTAAAACATGTAATGAAAAATAAAAAAATTAAAAAAATCAAGTTTAATGTGTGGGTCAAAGTTGGGACACGCTGTATAATTGTTAATATATCAAAAATGTGCCCCCAGATGCCATAAATAGGTGTCTTTGAAAAGGAGCAATACACCGTCCTCGTAAGGTTGGGACTTCCCATATTTATGCATCAGTTTCGGTAATCTAGCATTTCGACTTGCTTACTTGATCCGTACAAAAAATGATTGGGGCGCTAGGAAGAGAACTCTAATATGGACACTTCGCGGTATATGGAATTCCAACATATTAGCAGAAAGAAAATCATATTTAAAGCAAGCAAACACATTATATATATCTATATATATATATACGAGTATATACATAATGTAGTTTTGCTTGCCTAGATATATACTCTAATAATACGAGTATTAGATGAAAATATCCCGGTTTGCGAAATAATTGTAACGTCTGGTCTTATTGCTGCAAGTTGCTCAATTTCTGTGGCGAAACTTATTATTCGACAACAAAGAATGAGAAAACGTGCTTTTTGGGATTCAGTCGAAAGTGTTAGCAGGAACGAAAAAACTATTTATATAAGATTTTTAGGTATTAATAAGATCTGTAAATTGAGACTACACGTAAGAAGATCGGACTAATAGCAAAAAAAGTTATGGCCGAAACCCGAGGCAAACTGCAGGTCTTGGCACTCGTTGGTAATGCGATGATGGTTTCTCGCAGCTTGTTGAATTTCTTCAAAATCATAGGAATCGTACTTTCTAATAATCACAACACAATTGGGGTAGATTGGTAAATTATTTTT